AAGCTCAAGCCTGGGCGAAGTTGGCTGCTTCCAGCCTTGTCCTCTCCTCCTGCTGACTAAGGACACCCCTAGGGAGAAGCATGCGGCATTGGCTCCACGCTGCCCATTGCCAGAAAGTTAAGTAGCAGCGGCGGTTCTCTGCTTGGGAAAAACATCTGCAATCGCAGGCGAGTTCCCCCGCCTCCCCTCCCTTCCCGCCTCGCTCTTTGCTTTTCCACGTGAGAAAAAGAAATGGTCACGGCCAACGCTTCATTTTCACTGATTGATTTCTTTTTAATATCAACACAAGTTAATGGAGGTGAGACGAGCTGTGGTTAAACGGCTAGCCCCACCCTTTGCCTCGGGCTGACTGCACCACAGCGTGCCCACCAGGTCACCGACGCCCGGCGGCTGGGTGGAAGGCACCCGCACGGCTAAAGCTCAGGGACTGGTAGGGGTGCAATGAACCGGTCGCCCCTCAGAATCGTGCTGGTGGGGTGGGAATCAGCTCTCCTGGCCAAGCTTAGGGGATCGCCGCTTCTGCGGCTCCGGTTGAATTTCTCTGGAAGAGCAGGGGATCGAGGCTCTGGCTTATTGGCTGGTGCTCACTGCTCGCCCCCTCCCTTCGCTTCCCCTTCCTTTGGGTTTCTGACAGAGAGGAGAGCCCCCTGGCGCTAGCCATTCCGCGTCAGCGCCCGGTCACAAACTCCCCTTTACTATAGTTTATAGTTAATCGTGGTCCGCAGGGGACTGAGGTTTTGCTCAGGAAATCATTCAGGCCCTGACAATGGGTTTCTTCAGATGGTGGCAACTCCCAGCCCTAACGTCCCCACCTCCGAGACACAACGCTTGGGGCCAAGAACCGGGACTCTATAACCAACAACTACCCCTCCCCCCTTCGCATAGAGAGCTTTGATCTGTGCCAGGGTTTTAACACCATTGCCATGGACACGGGCAGACGCGGTCAATTCAACCTTCCTTCTAGACTGGACGATCAGATAAGAAGTGTAAATTGGCTGGGGGAGACAGGCCTGGGTTCAAATAAATCCTGAAAGAGAAATGATGGCGGTCTAGCTCTGGATAAGGGTTTGAAGAGGGTTTCTTTTTTAGCCTGTCTACCCAAAATATGAAATGGCTATGGACAAGCATGATAATTTGCAAGCAAAACTATAAACTCCAAGGTTGTATGCAGGCAGCCTGTTCTAGACTCTGGGGACTGGTCTCATGCACGCAGTCAGTGGGTGCCCAGTAAACTTTACCCAACGGAGTAGGGAAGCTGTTGCTAGTTACCAACGGGACACACAGTGCAAAACAGTATAAAGAGAGGAGCTCCCTGGGAGTGCTCCAGGGCAAGCCCCTTCTTGTCCAAGATGAGCCTGGTAGAATTGCAAATGCTCAGGCAGGACAGCAGGTTTGGACTTCTGTGTTATTACATGGAGCCCTTAGAGTAAGCCACAGAACACCCAACTAGCAAAATGAAAGGCTGGAAGGCTTCCATGACTAAAATCTTGGGCTATCCAGACAGGACTCCTGCTGTCTACCAAATGCCCCCTCTCCCCTGCTGTTGAATGTAAAGTCCACGTTCAGCAACCTAAAGGCCAGTGCCTATCTTCATGGTATAGAAAAGGCTAGGAGTCCAAATGCCAGTTCATATACAGTGAGGCATGAATGCAAATAACAGTTGGGGAAGAGTCTGGGGAGGAGAGTAAGTGGGGAGAGGAGGAGCGACACCATAGAGTAGATGATTCTGAGGACCCTGCCTGGTGTTTTTCATTTCACTCAACTGCTCATTAAAGTAATCAAGAGTATAAGCTGACATTGGGTGACCCAAGTGTGCAACAATTACGCAGTTATAAAATTCAGAGCCAGGTTCATTGTTAAAGAGTTTTCAGCATATATTCCCCAAAAGTCCAGTTGGGAAGGACTTAAGAAAATAGAGATGAAATTGTCCTTTTTTAAAGGATGGAGGAAAATCATAATACCTTTTAAATTTCTTGTACTGATGAGAAAGGACTTGAAAAGTGACATCTGGGCAGTAGTTTGAAGTATCACTAACGTATCTGAGGTATTTTATCATCTGACCATCATTTGACACTGGATAATCTTTGAGGCACCTTCTTTGAGTGGCAGATGTGTGTTGATCCTAGAAGTTAGGATCTTTGTGCTCTTCCTTCCAGGCAAAGAATTTTTTTTTTAAATTAACCCATTCTTGGAGAATACTGTGAATGTTTGTCCTGGAGAGCCTACAGTGTGTTTCAAAGCTTTATCTGCCTGATGAGAAATGGATGAAAGGCTTAATAGTTTCATTACCTAACAGGGTTCAGTGGGGCTAGATTCCTGGACACAGTGGTCTTACAGTGTGGCTGGTCCTCCAGGAGAAAGCATCTTCTAAAGGTTTAGGAAGCTGTCAAGTTCAGATAAGGCTGAGCTCTGATCCTATGGGACCTTGGTTGTATTAATAAGGAGAAATTAATTTTTAACCACTGGGAACATTGCCAAATTATGTGACCTTTGGCAGACCAGCTGTGCTATAAAAATAAATCCCCCATTTCTGAAAATGCTGCTCCTATGCAGAACAAAAACAGCATTGCCTTTAGGATAGGGATAAGTGGGGTTGAGAAGAAAGGCAAGAACTGAAAGCTGCCAAGCAGAAACCCTCCAGTGTTGTGACCATGGCTTCAGACTTGAGCATCCAGTCCACACCACCCTCTCCCATCCCACCCAGCACACAGGGAAGACAGCCAGGATAACAAGGAGCAGGGTGCCTGTGTATACAGGGAGCAGAGAAGGTGTTAAGTGCTTCCAGCCCTCTCACACCCCAGCCTCAAACACATCTCTCATTGTTCACACAGACAGATTACTGGCACACAAAGAGAAAAAGGCGTTTCAAACAGGCAAAACATTTGTCTTTCCCTATATACCACTAAATAAGCTTGTGACATAAAGTTTTAGAGAGACCTTCATTGGGTTTCCCAGCTTCTGTAGCATTGGAGCCAGATCACCTGGGTTTAAAATCCAGTTTACTTGGCAGCTCTGTGATCCAAAATACTTAGTCCTTCTGTAACTCAGTTTCCTTATCTGCAAAATGTGTTTGATAATAATACCTACTCCATAGGGTTGCTGTGCTATGTCAGATTACATAGAATATTGTTTAGTACATATTAAGCCTATTCTGAAGTCATTAAATCTTCAGAACAGCTTCAGTGAAATTAACTATATCTTGTGATTATAGAAAGCACACTGTAACCGTTGTGGTAAGTCTATGTTATTTTTATGAGCTTTTTTAATCAGTAAATATTCACTCTCAGCTCTTACCCCACTAAACCTTTGTCTGTGTTTTATAAGCATCAGATTATCTCTCAGCACACTGTTCTTCAGAGACATTCTCTGCTGGATTCTCATCTCAGATTATGTCTCTTCTTTGCATTTTTTTTCCTCCTTGTTCTGCTTTCAGTGTTCTCGCCTCTACTTATTTTTTTTAATCTCTCCCCTTTCCTTTCCTTTCCTCCATCCTTCATCACTGAAAGTGTGCTCAGCAGGGAGTAGTGTGTAGAAGGTGCTCCCCGAATGTGTAATAACTTCTATTCTGGCATTAAGACTCCTCAGCAGCTGAACTCAAAAAAGTCATCATAAAGACAAAATGGCTTTTACCCAGCAAGACTCTTAATAATCCCATTTCCCTCTGGGTCTTCATAAAAGAGTCATGATCTAATCCAGAGGAAAGAGAAGGGGCCTGGGAATACAAAAGTAAAGCTCTCCCCAGTAGCCTTCCGTGGATGGGGCTTCTGGCCAGCTTAATGCGCACGTACAGTGATAGATATCCTGCTCACCGCCTTCAAAGATCCTGTGATAACCAATGATCGGAGTTCTGGCCAGTCTTTCAGCGAAGAAGATAAAGGGAATTGCAAATTACTGGACCGAGTGGTAATAATAATTTACATTTATTTTGACAAAGGGGAAAAATAAAACAGATTGCCCAAAATGCATAGTGAGAGCCAGGAGAAAGGATGTGTAGAGAGAAGTGAACTGAAACCAGAGAAAGACAATCCTTTACCAGCAAACAGTTCAGTGATGAAGTCATAGTTTGTTATCTTCCTGGTGCTACTGACAACAAATATCTAGAATTTGCCTTTGGGAGGATAAGGCTGGGGAGTGGTGTGAGGGGGCAAGAAAACCCTTGGATGATTATTTTTACCACTATTAGAATCAAAATGTAGTATCCTTTGAATTTCATCATTATTATCTGAGCTTAGTGTGTCTAAGGAGACACAGTTCTCACTCTACCTTGATTTACAACCAGGTATTTTCATCCCAAACAAATTATTTAAACTAAAAAGGTTAAATTTAATAGCAGCTGTGGGTTGGGAAGGAAGGATACTAACTAGAGAAGCAGAACAACTTGTGATAAGGCTCTCTTATAACTTGTGATTTCTAGTGCTCCTCTTGGTGTTACTTTAGTCAATTAGTAATTCATTAATTCATCAAGTGTTATTGAGTCTGACTTTTGGGAAAGGCTCTGGGTTTGACCCTATAAATTTGCCAGAGATGAAGCAGAAAGGAGTCATGCCCTCAAGTAGCAGTGATCCAGCTGAATGCACACAGCTGTCCCCAGCTCACACACACCCTAGAAGACAGTAAAGAGCTCGTCCTCAGTGGTCTGAGACAGAGGGCCAAAGAGTACTCTTGGTGTGGGAGATCAGGGAGGGCAGAGCTGGCATCTGAGTCCAGACTGAGAGGACAGGTAGGATTTAGAGCTGGGAATGGTGTACTAGGCAAGGGGAAGTTGAGAGCAGAGGAATAGGCATTGGGTTTGTTTGGGGAACACTCTGAAGCTGCAGTTTAGAATGTGTGGAGGGGAAATAATTGCAAATAAGGTTGGAAATAATAGCTTGAGCTAAATGCAAGGCCCAAATTGCTAGGCCAAAGGGTTTGGATTTCATTTATGAGCCAATGGGGAGCCATTGATGTTTCAACATGAGCCATCAGTTAATCAAAATAAATGAAAAATAATATTATATTACCTTTTTTCTTCCTTCATTTTTTGGAGAGACCTCAAAATTATTCTTCTATTTCCTTCCCCAAATGTCTGCTGAAATGGTCAGGAATTGTAATCCCAGATCTCTCATCGATGGCATCAAAATTGCATTTGCAATAAGGGCTGGAAAAGAGTGGACATAAATATAAACTAATGATATTATATTGGCTGCCCTATTGGAATTGCATTTGTTTATGATATAAGATGACAAATAACAAGGTTACCACAGGTGGCATGATTCAAGGTCAGGGAAGGTAATCACATCAAACTTACATTTTAACGATTAAAAGAAGGTTCATTTTTAGAATCCAGACTGAGGGGAAGAGGCTATCCACACGCCCCATTTCCAGGCCCCATTTCGTTCTGTTCTTGGAGATGTTTTAAAAGAGTTCCTTACTTCTTTTTCCATGCTCATGTGCTGGCTTCCTCTCCTGCTCTCTGATCCCCTTCTTCCTGCCCTCCCAGAGGTTCTTTTTATTCAGATTTTGAACTTTATCACTGCAGAAGTTCACAGGGATTTCTATTTGCTGTGCCTTCAGGAGTGCATCATTCACTGCCACCCAGCCCCATAAATCGAATAGATTGCATCCCTTCCCAGTTGCCTTAGGAAGTGGTCAAACAGCCGCATTCCTGGGCTGATGGATTGGCTCATTTCTTCCCAGCTTAAGCCAAGATACAGATTTTATGAGACTGTCTTGTGACAGGCTGAAGTTGCTTTGAATAAAGCAAAATCCAGCCTCAGCTCACAGAAATGACCCTTAAAAAGCAGCTTATCCAGGGTTAGTGAGCAAAATTTGGTTAAAACCCTGGGCAGAGGACTTAGATCATTTGGGTGCGGGATTTGAAGAAACTCTTTTTGGTCTGTCTTTTCATGCATCACTGTTGTTGACACGCTCACACACAGAACTGTGTATCCATAATATTTATAAATATGTAGCCACAGACTCAGTTAAGAAAAGGAACTCACGTCAGTAGAGCTAATGTGATTAAAAGAGACATTTGAACTCTCCATAATGCAAGACAGACATGTTCATGTGGAAAATCTTAGTTTTGTTTCAGGCTTACCAAGCAGATGAACCAGGAGTAACACCTTGAACAAATGTTTTGTTGTCTAGAAAGGTAGAGATTCTTTTTAATTTTGTGTTCAACCCATAGGTTTTTCTTTTCTCGCCTGTACTATACTGTAGGCTTTGAATTTAAGAACTGACCTGTAGAATCAATACCCTCAGTGCAAAGATGAGAAAACAAAGGCTCAGAGTTGTTTACTAACTTACCCAAGGTCACACAACTTGCCAGTGGTTAAGTGACAAAGTGGCAAAGTGACAGCCTTTTTTCTAGTTAAGTGGGGGAAAGAGCTTCTTTGCTTTGCTGCTAATAATTAAATGAAAACAATGCTGTGGAAATTGCGGGGTGGAATGGGATTATGCTGAGGATACAGGATAAATTACAGAGTAAATAAAGTGTATTTTTTTCAGGGGAAATGAGATCAACTGCTTTTCTCCACCAAGTGCCCTCAGGTATTTATAAGCAATAGAAGTCTTCTGATCCTTCCACCCTTTCTCTTTTCTAAGACCTTTTAAAGTACCAACGGAACTGAAATCTAGTTCAGCGGGTTTCAAACCCTGTCCCAGGAAGCACTGGCATTCTAACAGGGAAGGTAGGGCCTCAGAGATGATGGTAGGGCCTGCTAGGCCAGGACACCACACCGCTTCTGGCCATCCTACCCCTGGCACCCAAGGAGAGTGACACTTATATCTGCTTTGCACATTGGAGTTCTGGGTACAGCTTTGCTCAAGGGAAAAAGAAACACTTCTAAAAAGAATTTTGAAAACTACACACTTATTCAGTCCACTCATTGAATTACAGTTCCAGAAGCTGAGACCCAGGAAGGTCACCAAGTTAAGAATCCAGGTGCCGCATCACTTCTTCTTGCTAATCTCAGCCTCCCACCGACCCCATCCTTGTCTCCCTGTCCCATATTCTCAGGCCCACCTTTGACAACAAACAACCTGACTCTAATCTCACATCCAACCAGTCCTCAATTTCCCTGTTTTTACCAAGGACTTTTTCCTTCAGTTCAGCTAAACCAAATCATCTGACTCTTGCTCTGTTACCTTGGGACTGCCCCCATGTTGTTGCCTGGTGTTGCCTGGTGTCCCTGGCTGTCATGAAGTAAGCCATTGCAGTTGGGATTATGTGAAAGTCCTCACTACCGTCAGGCTGCAGATTTTAGTAAATAGTACTGTTCTGCTCAGGTCAAACGGTGTTCCCTTAAAACAACTCCAATTGAATTTCCCTAGAAGGCAGACCAGATTTCCAAAAAGATCTGCTTTTACTCCCTCTTGATACTTCCCAAAAGTCACAGATTACCAAGGAACCAGTGATTTGTCTTAAACCGGGTTCTGTAGGAAGGTGAGTTCCTTTTGAAGCTGGCAAAGTGCCTTAGAATTGTTAAGTGGATGGCTGCAAAATCTCCTTACCTGATCCATTAGTTTGAAGTATCACTAACGTATCTGAGGTATTTTATCATCTGACCATCATTTGACACTGGATAATCTTTGAGGCACCTTCTTTGAGTGGCAGATGTGTGTTGATCCTAGAAGTTAGGATCTTTGTGCTCTTCCTTCCAGGCAAAGAATTTTTTTTTTAAATTAACCCATTCTTGGAGAATACTGTGAATGTTTGTCCTGGAGAGCCTACAGTGTGTTTCAAAGCTTTCTCTGCCTGATGAGAAATGGATGAAAGGCTTAATAGTTTCATTACCTAACAGGGTTCAGTGGGGCTAGATTCCTGGACACAGTGGTCTTACAGTGTGGCTGGTCCTCCAGGAGAAAGCATCTTCTAAAGGTTTAGGAAGCTGTCAAGTTCAGATAAGGCTGAGCTCTGATCCTATGGGACCTTGGTTGTATTAATAAGGAGAAATTAATTTTTAACCACTGGGAACATTGCCAAATTATGTGACCTTTGGCAGACCAGCTGTGCTATAAAAATAAATCCCCCATTTCTGAAAATGCTGCTCCTATGCAGAACAAAAACAGCATTGCCTTTAGGATAGGGATAAGTGGGGTTGAGAAGAAAGGCAAGAACTGAAAGCTGCCAAGCAGAAACCCTCCAGTGTTGTGACCATGGCTTCAGACTTGAGCATCCAGTCCACACCACCCTCTCCCATCCCACCCAGCACACAGGGAAGACAGCCAGGATAACAAGGAGCAGGGTGCCTGTGTATACAGGGAGCAGAGAAGGTGTTAAGTGCTTCCAGCCCTCTCACACCCCAGCCTCAAACACATCTCTCATTGTTCACACAGACAGATTACTGGCACACAAAGAGAAAAAGGCGTTTCAAACAGGCAAAACATTTGTCTTTCCCTATATACCACTAAATAAGCTTGTGACATAAAGTTTTAGAGAGACCTTCATTGGGTTTCCCAGCTTCTGTAGCATTGGAGCCAGATCACCTGGGTTTAAAATCCAGTTTACTTGGCAGCTCTGTGATCCAAAATACTTAGTCCTTCTGTAACTCAGTTTCCTTATCTGCAAAATGTGTTTGATAATAATACCTACTCCATAGGGTTGCTGTGCTATGTCAGATTACATAGAATATTGTTTAGTACATATTAAGCCTATTCTGAAGTCATTAAATCTTCAGAACAGCTTCAGTGAAATTAACTATATCTTGTGATTATAGAAAGCACACTGTAACCGTTGTGGTAAGTCTATGTTATTTTTATGAGCTTTTTTAATCAGTAAATATTCACTCTCAGCTCTTACCCCACTAAACCTTTGTCTGTGTTTTATAAGCATCAGATTATCTCTCAGCACACTGTTCTTCAGAGACATTCTCTGCTGGATTCTCATCTCAGATTATGTCTCTTCTTTGCATTTTTTTTCCTCCTTGTTCTGCTTTCAGTGTTCTCGCCTCTACTTATTTTTTTTAATCTCTCCCCTTTCCTTTCCTTTCCTCCATCCTTCATCACTGAAAGTGTGCTCAGCAGGGAGTAGTGTGTAGAAGGTGCTCCCCGAATGTGTAATAACTTCTATTCTGGCATTAAGACTCCTCAGCAGCTGAACTCAAAAAAGTCATCATAAAGACAAAATGGCTTTTACCCAGCAAGACTCTTAATAATCCCATTTCCCTCTGGGTCTTCATAAAAGAGTCATGATCTAATCCAGAGGAAAGAGAAGGGGCCTGGGAATACAAAAGTAAAGCTCTCCCCAGTAGCCTTCCGTGGATGGGGCTTCTGGCCAGCTTAATGCGCACGTACAGTGATAGATATCCTGCTCACCGCCTTCAAAGATCCTGTGATAACCAATGATCGGAGTTCTGGCCAGTCTTTCAGCGAAGAAGATAAAGGGAATTGCAAATTACTGGACCGAGTGGTAATAATAATTTACATTTATTTTGACAAAGGGGAAAAATAAAACAGATTGCCCAAAATGCATAGTGAGAGCCAGGAGAAAGGATGTGTAGAGAGAAGTGAACTGAAACCAGAGAAAGACAATCCTTTACCAGCAAACAGTTCAGTGATGAAGTCATAGTTTGTTATCTTCCTGGTGCTACTGACAACAAATATCTAGAATTTGCCTTTGGGAGGATAAGGCTGGGGAGTGGTGTGAGGGGGCAAGAAAACCCTTGGATGATTATTTTTACCACTATTAGAATCAAAATGTAGTATCCTTTGAATTTCATCATTATTATCTGAGCTTAGTGTGTCTAAGGAGACACAGTTCTCACTCTACCTTGATTTACAACCAGGTATTTTCATCCCAAACAAATTATTTAAACTAAAAAGGTTAAATTTAATAGCAGCTGTGGGTTGGGAAGGAAGGATACTAACTAGAGAAGCAGAACAACTTGTGATAAGGCTCTCTTATAACTTGTGATTTCTAGTGCTCCTCTTGGTGTTACTTTAGTCAATTAGTAATTCATTAATTCATCAAGTGTTATTGAGTCTGACTTTTGGGAAAGGCTCTGGGTTTGACCCTATAAATTTGCCAGAGATGAAGCAGAAAGGAGTCATGCCCTCAAGTAGCAGTGATCCAGCTGAATGCACACAGCTGTCCCCAGCTCACACACACCCTAGAAGACAGTAAAGAGCTCGTCCTCAGTGGTCTGAGACAGAGGGCCAAAGAGTACTCTTGGTGTGGGAGATCAGGGAGGGCAGAGCTGGCATCTGAGTCCAGACTGAGAGGACAGGTAGGATTTAGAGCTGGGAATGGTGTACTAGGCAAGGGGAAGTTGAGAGCAGAGGAATAGGCATTGGGTTTGTTTGGGGAACACTCTGAAGCTGCAGTTTAGAATGTGTGGAGGGGAAATAATTGCAAATAAGGTTGGAAATAATAGCTTGAGCTAAATGCAAGGCCCAAATTGCTAGGCCAAAGGGTTTGGATTTCATTTATGAGCCAATGGGGAGCCATTGATGTTTCAACATGAGCCATCAGTTAATCAAAATAAATGAAAAATAATATTATATTACCTTTTTTCTTCCTTCATTTTTTGGAGAGACCTCAAAATTATTCTTCTATTTCCTTCCC